AGTCAGATCAATAACTCTCCCGGCTCTCGGTCACACTCGCGGGAAATTAACGCTTGGAACGCATCTTCCGGCCTTTCCCATGGGTTTCGGAGCTGCCAGGGAATGTGGCACAAATGCTGTGACGTGGTGTCGAACTTGCCAGCCCACCTATCAGTCACTTCTGTGTGTATCCGTAGGCGAGCGTATAGGTGGTCTGCTTTGTGTATATATTTCAGAGCCGTCCATATACTCGTGTCCGTATATCAGGATGTACGTATCGGCCCTTAAGGTACCACGGAAAAATGTGTATACGAAAAGTATTTAGTGATAATTACCGGAGGGGGTTGGCAGTTTGCCGGATAAATGCTGGAGAACAGTGGAGTGTCTTTTTTTTTTTATTTGACCAGGGGTTGGTAGAGTAGCGAGGGGGGTGGCTAATAAAAAATGTATCCGTTTAAAATATTCCTTGGCAGGGATGACGATCTGCGTGTAACTGACTAGCTACCCTGTAATTTCGATGGCCCCCCTCCCCCCCTCCCGAGAGCAATCGCGTCCCCAAGGGATGTTTTTTTTGTCGCGAGGGGTGAATTATACCGATTACCACCTATCGACGATTATTTCGTCCTGCCGGCCAGCGCCTCTCGGCTCGAGTCGATTACGAGTCGTACGTAGTGATTTGGTAACGCATCAGTCGCGATTGCCGGTTGTCCGATCGGCACGGAAGCAGCGAGCCCTTATTGCCTTTGATTGATGGTCGACTTTGGGAAATTGCTGGGACCGCGGGGTCTCGGCGAAGGGTAGACGCGGGAACCACGTGTGGTTAAATTAAGTTTTGAGCAGGTTGACGAGTTGTTTTTTTCTCTGTCGTCCGTCCTCCCTGTAAAGTCCACTGGGGTAAGTAAGTCGGGACGGAGGCGTAAAAACGTACGAAGGAGAATATTCGCTCCCGAGCGAAGTGCCTTCGCGCAAACAAAGGGCGGCCCGGAGGCATATGCCATTGGCAACATTGTGCTAGACTTTTATTGAGCCATGGAAGCCGAATCGAATCGCTCACAGATGTGTCGTCTAAAAAGAGACTCGATACGATCTGGGAAACAAAGCGACCACCAGGTATATACGCACTGGGTATTACGTATAATGACGTCGGGCACATGGGTGTATTACGGTATAGTGAAAATACACGTGTACGGGTGTCTCTCTTCTGGATTTCCTATCTCTCTCTCTCTCTCGCTCTACGTGCCCGGGCAGAACGGCGAACGCTGGGCTGATGGGGCAGATAGCAAGGGTTGAAACCCCGTGCCACCGTCGCCATCTTTGATTTCACCAGCAGATAGCGGGCAACAGCTGGGAAAATTTTTGAATTTTTTTTTTTTCACTCCAGGGGTGGGTCGTATATTTCGTTGAGGGGTGGGATCCCCCCGGGGTGTCGCCACCGAAATGGCGTCGGTTATACGGTACTGTTACAACCCCCGTTAGAAAGTGTCCCTCTCTACTCCCCGTCGTCAACAAAACGTTAAATTTACATTTTAACGTGTGTCAAAAATTTTTCGTTTTAGTTGGGATGTAGAAAAAAAATTTTGAATTAATCGCACTAACCAAGGTTCGCCACGTGGTCCTTGGTACGAAAGGTCGTGACCTCCGAGCTGACGTTGTCAAGGAATACCGATACGGGCAGTGAATGCAAAAAAAAGAAGATGGCGAACTCGAAGGGAAAAATTGTGTTCGCAAGAGTCAACAAGGGATTTCGCGTCGATTCGCCGATTTCGTTTTGTCAAAAAGCGTTTTCAAATTTATAACACACGTGCGCGGATTGTGCCTGAAATATTGAAATTCGTGCCGCTTCTGGGATTCGTTGTTCAGGGCACTATGTATATATTCATTTTCAAACGGGCATTCAGAATCATGGTATCAATATGAAAATCGTGAATCAGCTGTCTTGAGATTGTATTAACGTAGACGAGAAAAAGTTTGGTTTATTAATATCTTATACATAGGACTACTGCAACAGATATTGTACGTGGATGCGTTATAAAGCGTAGACGCCGTATAACTGTATCGCGTGTTTCTGATTTTCTCTAAGGACTCAAAGAACCAAGAACCGGGGCGCCGCCATTCGGCGGGACGTTGGGAGTCGTATGTATATATAGGCGAGGAGCCAAAGTGTATTTTGCGACGAGTCGACCCGATCCGATCTTATCGGGGTCTCTTCAGGTAGCCGAAGAGGTTCGCGGGGTTATCTACGGCATCTGCCCCAGGAAAATGAATAGTTGCTGCCCCGTACTGCCGAGAGCATTGTCTGTCCCTTGTGTGCACGCCACCCGTATTGTCCGAGGCGTTAAAGGCTTCATATACATGCCAGAATGCCGATCGTGTCGTTCCTACTTTCACCCGAGGAGTCGAGGTTTCGATCAGCTCTCGATACACGCGAGTATATAGGGAGATCGACAAAATTTCTAGTAGACAATATTTCAGACTTCGAACGATATATAGTATATGCATACTCGAGCTTCGGAATATTGACTTCGTATTATACGAAAGGGAATTCGAAAGGAAATATCTAGTATAAAAGAATATTTGTAGCGTGTATAAGAGAGCACGTGCTTTTTTCAACATATTTATATGCCATTTTTTAAAAATACCACTTATATTGCTCGCGAGCTGTCAATAAAATAAAACTTGATTGTACCATTGTAAATCGATGGCTTTATTATGTATACGCTAAACGGGAAAAGCCATTATATCGCGGCAGTGTACAATTGTACATACGTATACACGGGGAGAGTCGTGTAATTTATAACGTACGAGTAATGTCCGATCAGCGCGATGGGAATTTCGTAGAGACGTTATGCGTTTAGAAGTATCGTCTTGACAGGCTGCCAGCTCTCTATGAGCAGCATTCACGACATGTTGGGAGGCAACAACGGCGACTGAATTATGTACCAGATGCAAATGAACGTCGTATTGTCCGGTACCGGCGTCGTGCTCCATCCATCTTTCAGCTTCCTTGAAAATTCCGCTCATGAAATCGAAATTTGCATCGTTCACACTTTGAATACGACGGCCCACATGAGATCGTGTAATGTTTACGCCGAGGAGGACGAGGGAGGATGAACGGGGGGTGGCGGGGGTCCGTCAAAGACTTTGACCGTGGAGCACGTGGTCTGTCAGCTAGAATCGCTATGTTGACGTTGCTCACGGATGAATCTCGGTATACCAGTGCGTGCTGGGTACTTCCGGCTGAACTGTCAGGTCCGCGTGTCTTCGGGAGCCAAGAGAGACTCTCGGTGTACGAGACGGAGTAGGGAGAGCCAAGTGCCGATGTTGCAGAAGCGAGAAGTTGGCGCGAGCCAATTAGATGGGCGTAGGGAGTCCGAAATAAATCCCGCGGAAGATTCAAGAAGGCACCGAACGAATCGGATAACCTATTAACTTGTAAATTGCTTCCGACTGTATGGCTAACCGAGCTAGAACGCATAAATTTAGTAAATAAATTCAGCCGCGTTTAGAGGTCCGTGGGTTACGTGGTGGCTGAGTAGGTTGGGTTAGGTCTGCTACCTACTTACTATATATCTCTCTTTTTATGTATACTCCGTTGCGCGTTGTACCGAGGAACGTGTGTCTAGTAGCCGAGAAGCGGGACCGGTTCGCGCAATGGCTCTCCTAAGCTGAACGATCGGCAAAGCTTAATAATTGTCCCGCTGATAGCGCTAAAGGCGCAGTACGACCGAACCCGATCACGCTCAAGTCCGAACAGGTTTACGTCCTCGAGTCTCTCGGTGGGTCTCTGCACTTTCGACGAATGTATCGTGTATACGGGAGTTGGGTACCCTGGTACCTTGACTGTAGTACCTACGTAGTCACTGTACCAGACTGTCTAGGTATGTATATAGGTTACCTGTCTGTACTAGAGAATAGTCGA